TAGTTACTTATTTAAATTAGGTCTCATAAGCACATACTTAGTTACTTTTCATTATTTTTAATATTTTCAGTGAGGACCAAGTATCAATACCCAAGTCCAACAGCCATTGCGGGTTACCTTAAATTTACACTCAACATTTTTTTTAGTTCAGAAATAAGGATTCAAAAACCTAATTTTAAATTCAATTTCAAGCTTTTTGACAAAGTGAAACATTTTTCATCGGCATAAGTAGAAAAAATAATAAAATAATAAAAATTTGAAATGTCCAATAATAGCACAAGAAAAAAATTGGTTTGAAAATGTTATTTGCAAGTCTAGAAAATGTTTAGCGTTTGTTGAAAATGTAAAGTATCGTCGTGGCTCTTCTTTTTAAATTTCAACAAAATAAGAAAATTATTGATTTTGTCAAAAACTACTGTTGGTTTTCCCTAAAAATGTCCTATGCTTTATTTTCCCCCAAATTATTAAGAAAAGTAACAGGAATTTATACTGGTCCTCTCCAAAAGTATTAGCTTGATTCACTTTCCCACCAAAAAAGTTATTGAAGATGAAAATTAAATTAATTTTATTTCTGAAGGAGATGATTTCTATAAAAAAGATTAAAATTAAAAATACCTGAAACACAATTTTGTAAAATCAATGCATTCATTGTTCCGATCAGAATCCATAATTAAATTGTTTTCTTATAATCAATAGGTAAATACCTAAACGACAAAATGGAAATTTTAAAAATATTCACAACTACCTAACCTTGAAGGTTTGAATACTTGTTTCGAACATTTACTTGAATCTATACAGTCTATTGATATTCGCGCAAATTCGAATGGCGCCTGCAGAATATAATTTTGTAGGTAGTTTTTTCGTTTTAATAAATTCATTTTTGTTATAATATTTAGAAGTCAACACCTAACGCCAGCTGGGACGTTGCCATCCATATCAAATGTCAACCATAACCTTATACAACATCCGGTGGTTTCATTATTTACTCAACTCATACAACCAAAAAAAAGTTATAATAAAAATATTTTAAAATGATTTATATTTAAATTGAATAAAGTGGGATAGTGGGTAGGGACAAAAAAATTTTAATGACACAAATATTTCATAATAATTAATAGTTCTAAAAAAATATACTTACCATCATTTGTATGATGTAACTTACATAATTTATTTAAATTATTATGTTTTATCACTTTTAAGTAACAAGTATGTAATAACTAATAAAAAAGGAGGAAAGTAAGTACCTATAACCCCCCTGATATACAGTAGGTTTACTATCATCATTGAATAAGTCAGACTGTCACAGTAATGCACTAATGTATGATGTGTTATATTTAAATTCAATTGCACACGAAAACGATTCTGAGTGAAGAAGGCCTATATTTATAACTCATTAGGTATAAGTATATTTCATCATCCATTTTAGATTTTGAACGGATGTATTGATATTACAATGATGTGTGTTTTTTATATTTGTATCTTCAGCCGATGGGTCCTAGTTGAAATAATGCTTCGATTTTCTATACAGTAACTTTTCATCCGGTTAGTACATTCGAGAGGTCAAATTGAAAATTTCCAGTAGTTATTATATACGCTGAGAAAAACAAAAAATGAATTATTGAAAAACGGGAACTGATAATAAAAATTAGTTTTCGACAAAATCGATTTTGTTTTTAGTGGAACTCAAAAACGAAAACCGTAGATACTTGAAATGTTCACCGAGTGTTTATATTAGCATTTTCTTTACGCCATAACATTTTAATAGCAATAATATCAACAAATATACTAATAGTAAATAATTAATAAAGTATTATAGTCTGCTGACGGCTGAGTGCTGGCTGACAGACCATTGTAACAAAGTTTCATCCAGTTGAATACCTAGTTTATTTTATTTTGTTAATGTTATAATATTTCTTACAATGTCACTGCAGAAAAAAATTCGATACTCCAATAGTCCAATCGAAAAATTATCTGTTGTACCTCGTCTGTCACGATGAAACCACGTGAACCGATTTCGATACCTACCTACCTATATATTTAAGCATGACGTGTTTCAACTATCAATAGTTGTATCCTAAAGTCAATAATTAATAATCTTAAGAACTGAAATTTTGACTCAAAACCAAAAATGATATTGTTTTATTGGCATCTAGATACAACTAAAACAAAAAAAATACTGTAAATACTTGACATGTTTATATTTCCTATTCGCCATAATATAGGCATAAGTAATTTACGAATTTTGTTATTTTTTTTTTTAAATTATTGTCGATAAAAAATTCTTTGCTTGTACAAGAAACATACAAATTTAATACAAGGTTCCTAGCAAAAGTTATTATAGTAGAAATTTTCATTAAGAACTCAGTTTTTAGTTTTACTCTTTAATGACGCAGTTGATTCTGTCTTAAAATTTACTGGTCAGCCTCTTTATTGTTGTTGCGGTACTTCACGCTGTCCGAGGATTGTACGAAGTTTTCTAACAGTTATCACAAGCTCAGCACACTCCCCGTATTTATAAAGGATTTTAATGGACAAGACACGTTGCTCAATTGTATATACAGCTCCATAAAGAGAAATAAACAAAATACACAATATATTATTTATCAATCACTAAAAAGTAAAAATCTCAACATCCACAGGTAACAGAAATTATAAGAACAATACCACCAACCTAACAGCGATAAACTACACAGCATTTCAAAAACTGCAGTATTTATGAAACACCCTATATTAAAGATACGTATAAGCATAATTGTTCTTATAAACATTTGAAATTCAAAGTTTAAATTAAAGTTCATTAAAATCAAGAAAATTTGAAATTAATTTTGTAGTAAAAAATATATAAATTATTCACTATGGCGAAAAATTGAAAATTAAAACAAGGTATAGTATAAGTAGGCATCTAGTTTATGTTGTAATCAGAAAATCTAAAAAATATAATATATTCAGAGTTTTATTTTATAGACATTTTCAATTCAAATTCAGTCTAAATTAAATATTATGTTAGTTATTTCGTTGTCATCCAAAAACATTATTCGTGGGCACTTACAAAATTATAAAATTTACCATACGCAATGACATTTTCAACATATTTAGGTCAACAGTTCTACAATACCTAAGTCATTAATATGCAATATAGCAATAAATACAATGTTTTTAACAAAAATGAAATCAACGTAACGCATAGTAGTTTAATACTTATAGTAAAATAAATTACTTTGATATAATATATAATATGTGGCGCGGTGTGCCGGTGTCTACACTCAGTTGAGTGCGCACTCTGAGTGTACGTGCGGTCGACGTTGCTAGCTCCCGGATGGGTGACCACCCAGGCTTTTTAACAACAAAATCCTTGCCACACATATAAATACGTGTTCCAAACCAACAGTACCGCTCCACAAACAACAGCTATAATGGCTATAGTTGCCAGGCTCTAGATCAATAAAAAAAAATATATTTCATGGGTATACTCACCTATAATATAATAAACTTATATTGTGAATAGGTATCTACGTTCTACCATTACTATCTACAATAATATTATAGGTACTTTAATTTCCTCAACACGAGACATTTGTATTCATTTATTAATTACTAGCTTCCCGATCTTCCTCCGGAAGAAATTATTTTTTTTAAATTTAATTAAAAAACATAAGACTATTTTTTGGCTATACAAATAATACGAGTATAAAATAAAAAATAAAATAAAAAAACAGACATCGTTATCGGTGAATATATGAAAATAAATGGTAATTAGTTTATTATTATTATTATTATTATTATTATTATTATAATGAGGGTTCAAAACCGGTTTCCTTCGTCTCCAAAATCAAGTTAGATTCTTATATATATAGATTATTGTTTTTAGTTAATTATTTTTTTTCAAATTTTTACAAAGATTCATGTCGGCGATAAATCCTTTATTTATAATCTTATCTAACCTTTAATTTCTAGAACACTGAATAATTTAAGAACTTTATAATTTATAATGATATAATGATTAATAATAAAATAATAAAATATATCTTCCTAGGTACCTTCGACAAGTAATAATTACGATAGGCAGTAAAAGAGCTAAGATTTTTACAATCTCTGACCTAAGTGCTTATCACAATATTAGTATTGATATATTAATATAATATTATTACCTACCCATCGGTAGCTATTTTTCCAACTTTTTGAACTGAGTATATTTTTTTAGTTAGCCCCGTAGATCTATGGCGTTAAGATATATGTAGATCTTGTCTTACTATCAATCATAAATATTAACAATAATAATAAACTTCAAATTTCATAACATTGATTATTTTTAATACCTATTTTATCCACAAGCAAACGGTTTGTAATAAAATTATTTAGTACCTACTACCTAGCTGCACAAAGATTTTGTTGTTCATATTTTTTTAATACTGCAAATTCTAGTGCAAACGACGTATTTTCGTAATAGTCATATAAAAAAAAACTGTCTATTGCCATTATTTCTATAGGTAGGTGCCTAGTACCTACTACCTACCTATCTATAATTTACTATATATTGTAATGAATGTTAAGTTAAAATAATGAATTTATGGATAATATATAATATGATATTATTCTAAACCCATAAGCTGAGTTTTTTGTAATAATATACTTACTGCCTACTGGCTATTACTTATTAGTTATTAGGTAGGTACCTACCTACCTACTAACTGATCCGGAAAATTACAGTGTATTACCGAGAGAAAAAAATTTATTTTGGCGGCACCTCACAAAAACAAAAACCAATAGGAGCACCAACCGAACGTAATATATGAATAATATGTTATGTTTCGATAGGTTTTGTAGCTTCCGAGATTATCGAGTAGGAAATTAACAAAAGCACAATAATTTTTACAATATTACAATATAGACAGACATCTTAATACGTGGTTACCAGTTTTAACTATAATAATAATTCAATAATTATTGGCATTGCTGGATCAACAGAACGCTGGCTCTGCGGCTCGATTCTTATCAAAATTACGCTGAGTCGGTATTATTGTTTATACAATACGATTGCGATAACACGAATAATAAGATACCTTTATGCGAATTTAACACATTTAAAACCATCTTCATTAACTTCATTTCAACTAAAAGAAATAATAATTGTTCATCCACTAGAAAACATCTTTCTTGTTTTATACTCACTGTAATAATATTATGTTCTGAGTACGTTTGTCATAATATGTGATCGTGTTGTGATATTCATTGGCAAGTAGGTAGAATGCGTTATTCGTCTGTTTTATAGGCAGTGTTGGTTTTTCTATCAATGAAGCATACGTTTCATGTATTCTTCATGGTTCTTATAGTGCAGTTCTGTTATTAAATCGGACAACTCCGAATATGGAAACCAATCATCCAGTATCAACGTCACAGGTTGTCGATGCCGTGGAGAACATAAAACATGATCGCTCTCCAAGCCATGGGTCCCGGATCAACAATATGAGGTAAAAATGATGTATTCAGATTATACAAATTGTGACTTACTGATGAAAGAAAGTACTTACCAATGTTCTATTTTTATGTATCTTTCAATAAGACTTAATCCTTCAAGTTTAGGTCAGGTTAAGTTAAAGGTTAGAAAACAATTTTTACTGTCTATTATCAATTAGGTATTGTTATGCCGAGTTGCACCAACAATTACTTGACATATAATGAATCAATAGTGAGCTAATAGTCCCTTAAAAAAATATTTAGTGGCCCATAATTGGTCCATTACATTTTAGTAAACCATTAATTAATCAATTTTTTATGCAACCTGGCATTAGGGTTTTGTTAATATTGTAATATAATTATAGTTTATGTATTATTTTAGATTTGTATCATTATTATAATACATTTTACTATCTAGGTATTATAATTATTTTTAAATAATGATTATTATTTATCATTTTAACTAGGTAATTATGGTACGGTTATCATATTAAAAATATTTTAAAAATGTATACTCTAATAACAACTATTTATAAAAAGATATTAATCACAATCATTTTCTTGCTCTATTTACAGTCACATGCCAACATTTGGTCTACCAGCTAATGCCTATGAATTAAATTCCAGTGCTCGATTAACTATCAGGTTTGATAGAGAAATGTTCAACAGTAGTCTATTTGAGAGTGAAATAGAAATCAGTCCAGCATTTCGATTTAATAGAAATGACTTTTTCAGACCTCCCCAGTAAGATTTAAATTAACCATAGTTTTGTTTAGCTATTTACTAATTATAATGAATAGTTTTGATTTCAGTCATAGAAGTAGCACATTGTTAAATGGACAATTCTCTACACCTAAAGAAATGGGTCAAAATTTAGATACCAAAAAATATTTGCATGAGTTTGGGTTGAAAAAAGCCGAGATTAAAGCCAAACCATTTACATGTGATGTGTGCAAAAAATCGTTCTCTAGTTCTGGTGGTTTGACTGTCCATTACAGAACACATACAGGTAACAAACCTTTCAAATGTGATTTATGTAATAAAACTTTCTCAAATTCAAGTCATTACAATTACCACATGCGTGTACATTCAGGAGATAAACCATTTAAATGTCATGTGTGCAACAAAGAATATTCTTGTGCTAATGGTATTTTGTACCATCAGAGAACTCATCACTTTTTACAAGATACAAAACCGCTGAAATGTGATGTATGTGACAAACTGTTCTCCAGCATCGGTGGCCTGACTGTTCACTACCGCTCTCACACTGGTGACCGGCCGTTTAAGTGTGATGTGTGTTTTAAAACATTTACTAGTTCCAGTCACTGCAAGTATCATCAGAAGTCTCATTCGCAGTTGATTACCAAAAAAACCTTGAAATGTGGTATTTGTAACAAATTGTTCTCCAGTTCAGGTGGCCTTGTAGTTCATTACAGAATGCATACTGGTGATCGTCCATTCAAGTGTGAAGTTTGCTTCAAGTCATTTACCAGTTCCAGTCATTTCAAATACCACCAAAAATCGCATATGATTTCGAATGATAAAAAAACATTGAAGTGTGATGTATGTGATAAATTATTTTCTAGCGCTGGTGGACTGGTTGTTCATTACCGCACACATACTGGCCACAGACCATTCAAATGTGAAATTTGCTTAAAATCTTTTACCAGCTCAAGTCACTTCAAATATCACCAAAAAACCCACATGGTTAATGTCTGATGATTCTATTTAAATTCAATGTAACTTAAATACATTTTAGCCAAAAGGAACTTATTACTTATTAGGTTATTATATATATATATTTAAATGCTTACTTTTTAGTCCAGTTAATATATATTTAGTTATGTATATAACTTCTTTCCTTTATACATTACATACATAGTGTTATGAATGCTAATATTTTAAATAACAATTTTTCCTATTTGTAATATGTACAGAATCAATATTTTATGGTTTTTCTAAGACTTTGGTATTTTTTATGAGTCATTTTGACTTAATTTAATTTAAATTATATTAATACTTAAATATAAAGATTTTATTTCATCAATCAATTTATTTTCTGTCTACACATTGTAACAGGTATTAATTTATTTATAGTATATGAGTAATTTTACTTATTTTGATGGACATAATATTATTTTCACTAAAACATTGTAATTTTTTTTTATTATTATTTATTTAAGGCTTCAAATACATCATTTATTCGCCTACAATGGTTTACAAAATTAGGTTAAATTTTTTTTTTTATATGTGAATGTGCTTGTGTGAAGTATTGTTGATCCATTGTTTTAAATGTTCAAAGTAAGATCAGCTATCTTGATGAAGTTTAATATCATTTTTTCTTCGCCGTGGTTGAATGCTCCTTTGAGTGAGATTGTGTTTAAGTTTGATTTCGTTTGTGCTTCTGATAGTTGGGGCATTCTAAGAATACATGTTTGACGGTGAGTTCGGTGAGGCACGTTTCACACCTGGGTTCAGGCTCCTTATACATCAAGTGAGAATGTGTGAGTCTGATGTGCCCAATGCGTACTCAGGTAACCATGATCTCCTCGTGACGTGTAAGTTTAATTAGTCGATGTGGTCATTTTTTTGTTGTGAGTTTTATTTGCTTAAATTTGTTGTTATGGTTAGTTTGTTTTTCCTATGTATTTTGCCATAGAGAGTAACATTTGATTATTAGAGCATGGGATACATCCTCATATGTTACATGTGAGTATAATTTGGTGTCCGGAGATTTTGTGGCTTCCATTGCCAATTTGTCGGCACATTTTTTACCTGGAATGCCAATGCGTGATGGGACCCACGTGAGTTTGATTGTTTTGGGGTTTGTGAGGATAGTATTTTGGATGTTTTGGGCGAGGTTACATTTTGTATGTATGTTGGTTATGGAGGTGATTGCACTGAATCACTTAATATGAGGGCTTTGTCCTGATTAGTGGAGAGTACATTGTAATTTGTATTATGTAAAATAAGAATAATTTTGAGAATCAAATTTAAAATCTTATCAGTGTTTCATTTTTCATTATGTTGATGATGAAATTATTGTTCTCAAAATATGTTCTGTAACTAAAACACTAAAATCTGTATACCGAATCAAATTTTTTTAAAACAAAATATTGGAAATTGTTCAATTTATTTCAATATTAATAATAATGAAAAATTGTTTACACCGAATGTACATTTTTATATTTGAATTGATTGCCCTTTGCAATTTTATTATTTTCATTAATATTATTGTTTAGAAAGGAATGAAAAAGTTATGCCATTAACATTTTTCTAGTAGTTTACTTTTTTCTATAAATTAAACTAACTCTAATTCTAATTCATGGTTTTCTATACTCCTCTATACCTATTTGGCTAGATTGTTATCATAAGCCTAAAGACTTACATATTTATAAAGCTGTATGCCTGTATGAATATACAATAATACCTCTACTAAAGATAAGATTTAATAGAAACACATATTTTGATATTTAAATAGTTATGGTTTTTCAATTAGAATTATACAATTATTGTAATTATTTGTAGACTTATATCATTTTTAACTACAGAATAAATTTGTAACTTCAATATAAAATATTAATCTTGAGGTAAATAATAATTGAGCATAATTAATATACAAGTTGATCTAAATCTTACATTATTAGGCATTTTAAAACATGCTTCAAAATTAAACTTTAAGCATGATGTCTGATAGCAAATAGATCTAATTGGTACCTTATGATGTCAGTTATAGTTTTTAAGATAACCAGGAAAAACTGAAAAAAATATTTTAAAAATATGAATATTTTCAAGGCAACCATTTTTATTTTGATTCTCAAATTATAAACTTAAAATGTTCAACAAATATTAAAATTATCATTTTCTATATATGATATTATTTTAAGATTCTTTTTAAGCCAATTTTTTTGTTATTTTTTCGATAAATGTTGATAAAAAACATTTATTTACAATAAGCTTGAAAATCTTCATAAACTGTTCTTAAGAGGATTAAATCTATTTATATTTATGTACAATTAGCCATGATGGTTAAAAAAGTTTAACATCTTTTTATTATAAAATTATCAGATCATATAACTTCCAATTGAGTTGAATAGCACAATTAATTTGTTGTGTTAAATGAAACACTAAAAAATCAAAATAAAGTATTTAATACCAACAATAAGCATTTAAATGTATAGCTATTAGTTACATTTAGGTATAACTTAATACTCCAGGTCAGCGGTCCCCACTACGCGCCCCGCAGGCCCCATGCGGCCCTTTAGCAACTTAAGTGAGGCCAGCACTAAAATTAAATTGTTCATTCTAAAATCCAAAATTCTATAAACAATGAATAATATGAACGTTGCTTATTATCTTATTATTTTTATTTATTTTATCTTTCTATTTTAAACTTGTATTGAATTACCAGTTGGACAGACAAGTAGGCACCTACGATTATGAGTTTATTCATTTCCACCACGTAGTACGCTATTGTCAACATCAAATACACCCGTAGACATAAACAAGATTATAAAAGAATCAAAAAGATACCGTCTATCAACATCAAAACAACATTAAATCAAATAATTAATTTGAATTTAAAAAAATATCAATATTAATCTAATAATTTAATAAATGAACAAAAAAATATACAATGCTAATAATATGAATGATTTGTATTTTGCATAAAGTAAACTATGAATTGACATTTAAAATTATAATTATAAATCCAAGAAAAAAATGTGTGTCATTCATGTACTTTTCCCTACAATACTCTTTCCTAACAATATATATTGTACAATTTTATATTTTTAATTATTATCATTAAAGTATGTGGCCCGCAAATAATTTTCGAAAACTATATTTGGCCCATTCTACAATCCTAGTGAGGACCGCTGCTCTAGGTACTGAGTGTACACTGTACAGGGATTTAGTAATCTGTTTCTGAAATCAATTTTATATGTTAAAAATGTTCTGTGTAATTCAAAGATTAGAACCTTACAGACCTTATATTTTTAGGGTCCAAAAAAAAATTGAACACCAAAAGTATTCCCACACTCTCCTACAACAACAATTTAATTAGACAATAAAATATTATTCAATTGTTCAATTTGTTACATAGGTTAAAATAGGTTTTATAGGCACCTACTACACACACATATACCATAGAAATAACTATAAGCATTAATACAAATTATGGGCCCTCATTAGCTTATTATACACAGCAATATAATTGATTATATTACAAATATACCTATTATTAATTTAATACAAAACATAACTACTACCTACCAGAATAAAGGTAAAAAGATTAATATTTCTGTGATTTGTAAAATTACTTTATGGGTACACTATTTGTACATTATAATCAATGGTAATATAATAATTAGTATAATTTGTGTTTTAGCCTTTCCGAAAAATTATGTACCTACCTACACCATGATATTAAATTATAATAATGATACAAAGAACAAGTTGATTGTTGAATAACATTGGCTAGGTCAAGACATATAGATATTAAAGTATATATTTATATTATGTTAGATAATACTGCAGGTCTGCAGATAAATATTTTTACACTCTGTGATTAATTAATATAAAATACTAATAATAATATTACACTCAAGGTGTTTTTTTCACTATCTAGTATCTACCTCTAGCATCTAAAGCCGTGTTAATGCCTTTGATTTTTTACACAATTATAACAAGTTCTTAATAATAGTGGTTTTTTACCCTAGGTCTTAACTCTTAAACCATGAACATTATACACTTAGATCATATACAATTTACACATATATACAAATGTATATGATAATATGATCTTTTTTACTATTTTACACGATAGATCTTATCTTACAGATAGTACTATCTTTAATCGTGGCAATTGTGCTTAACTTTTATCTATGGCTTAACCTCAAAAACTCCTTATCTCTGAGTTCAGTATTTTTGCCGCTAAAATGTTTGTTTATTATTTATTATTTCAATTTTTTTGTTAATAGTGAACTCGGCCAGGTTTCAGAAATTGGAACTACATTACTGCATTGCTGTTGTGCCTACTTTTTCTTTTGTCATCGTGTTTTATATTTTGAAATAGTCCATGTACGATTCTAGAACTAATTTCTGTGTTCTCATCAATAGTATCATCGTCATTTACTCATTTGAGTACTACACCAAATTCTGATTTAATAACCATATTTTTGTAGAAAAGCGTGACATTTAGTTTAAAACAAATTCCGTTATGGGTATTACCGGTTTAGCGAAACTTATAGCAGACTTTGCTCCAAATGCCATTAAGGAAAATGAAATTAAAAATCATTTTGGTGAGTTACTTTATGCCTAATAAACTAACAGTTTGAATACAAATAACAAAGTTATTGCTTCACTAGGTATTTAATCACTTAAGGATTTACCTTATAATTAATATTTATATTTGATTTCAGGCCGGAAAATTGCGATTGACGCTTCTATGAGTCTTTATCAATTTCTGATTGCAGTCCGCAGTGAGGGAGCACAATTGACAAGCTCTGATGGTGAAACTACTAGGTATTTTATTAATATATAATAATATAATGTATAATAAAATCAATTTAATGTACACGTTTTTGTCCCAGTCATATTATGGGTACATTCTATCGTACAATAAGACTTTTGGAAAATGGTATTAAACCAGTATATGTATTTGATGGTAAACCACCTCAAATGAAATCATCAGAATTAGAAAAACGAGCTGATAGAAGGCAGGAAGCACAAAAATCGTTAGAAAAAGCAGAAGAAGCCGGTATTGTAACATAATATGATTATTAGACTTGAATATAAAGTATTTATGTCTAATTTTGAT